TTTTTTTTGTTTAATGCGATATGTCTCAGTTGTGGATTTTTTTGTGTATGGTTACCATTATGTTTATGTAAAAGAAAGTTCATGTATACCATAGTCTTTTTCTTCTGCATGTATCTTATCTCCAGTCCTCTTTGCAATTTCAGAACTTTACCACCTCCTCTTTTGTGTTTTTGTTGTCACAAATGTCCCTATTTATGCTGTGAGTTAATTTCCAAGTCATAGTAGCAATTATCTTCTTTTCTTTTCTTTTCTTTTATGTTTTTACCTCCTTTGACCTTTATGTTATGTGTAAGTGTTTAGTCCCCAATTCTGAATACAGGTTGCAACTTCCTGCTTCTGACTGTCTGTTAGTCATCTTACTCATAGTTTTGTGTCTTTTTGTTTTAGGTAGAATAACCCCCTTCAGTAGTTCCTGTAATGCAGGCCTTGTGGTGGAAAATTTCCTCAGCTTCTGTATGTCTGGAAAGGTTTTTACTACTCCTTCATATATAAAGGATAACTTTGCCGGGTACATTATTCTTGGCTGGTAATTTCTCTCTTTTAATAGTTTAAATATTTGATTCCACTCCCTCCTAGCTTATAGAGTTTCTGCTGAAAAAAATCTGATGATAATCTAGTGGGCTTTCTTTTATAGGTTCCCATCTTTTCCCTGGCTGCCTTAAGGAATTTTTCTTTGTCATTAATTTTTTATAGTTTTAACATAATATGCCTTGGAGAAAGCCTTTTGAGATTGAGGTAATTGAGTGTCCTGTTTGTTTCTTGGATTTGAGGATCCAATTCTTGTCATAGGGTTGGGAAGTTCTCATTAACTATTTGTTTGAATAGGCCCTCTGTGCCCTTTTCCCTCTCTTCCCCTTCTGGTATACCCATTTTTCTTATATTGCTCTTTTTGATGGATCCAGATAGTTCTTGTAGAGTTCTTTTCTTTCTTTTAACTCTCAAGTCTCTCTTTTCTTCCATCTGCATCATTTATAGATTTCTATCTTTGATATCACTAATTCTGTCCTCCATCCAGTCAGCTCTATTTCGTAAGCTTGTTATTTCAGTCTTCTTCTCTTTTTTTTTTTTTCAGTCTTCTTCTCTTTTACTGAGTTCTTCAGCTCCAGAATTTCTATTTGGTTCTTTTTTAAAATTTCAATCTCTTTGGTAAATTATTCATTTTGTTTGTTGATTTTATTTGAGTTCATTAAACTGCCTATCTGAGTTTTCTTGCATCTTGTGGAGCTTTTTCAAAACTGCAATCTTGAATTCTCTGTCATTTAAGTTCATATTTCCATGTTTTTAAGTTTATTTTCTGGATATTTTTCTTTTTTTTTTCTGAGCTGCCTTGTTTCCTTGGTTGTTCATGGTATTTGATGGACTCTCTCTGTCTAGGCATCTATGGGAGTGAATTCTGCTGCAAGTTGATAAGATGTCTTTGTTTTGTTTTCCAGTAGGTGGTGTTGGAGCGTTTTATTTTCTCTTGCACTGCTCTGGCTGGCTTTTCAGATCTCTGCTGGGCAGTGGGAGATCCCTTGTATTCCCTGGGGAGGTGGGTGATTCTGCTGTGACCAGGTCACCTTGGACTCAGTGCATCACACCCACGGGAGCATGTGGTGGGTGATGGGGTTCTGAATCCCTGAAATCCCAGTGCTGCTCCTGCAGCTAGATGCAGAGCTGTGCTGCCTGAGGTGCCCCAAGTACCCCTGCTGGATCAGCTGTGAAGGGTGGAGGTGGGGTGGGCTGGGAGAGGCTGCTGGTGTGTTTGTGGCTTTGTTCTCCTCCCAGTAATGGTGACTGCCAGACTCCAGCTGCCTTACCTCTGTATCTCTATCTACCCTTGTCACTGGGATTAGCTGCAGTGTGCATCTGCTGCTCAGGAACATTCTCTCCAGTTCTCAGGGCTGTAGATATTCTGCTTTGTAACCTGACCCTCACTGCTGTAGTTTCTTCTGGGTCCTGCTGCTAGCTTTGGGAGGTGTGTGGGAGGTGAGCTCTGGGATGGTGGTGGGAGATGGCCAGCTCTGTGGCTTTGTTTTTTGCCTGACAGTGGCAGCTGCTAGAACACAGCTGTCACATTTCTGTATTAAGTATTTGCCCTGAGGTCTCTGTCCCGATTGCTGAGTTCAACCATATTATATGCTGATCACTCAGACAAGAGTGCTCAGGGCCACAGAGAGTGCACCTGTAGCCGGAATTCTCCCCTTTTTTTGAGACCTGCAGTGAGGTCCAGGCTACCTCTGCAGCATCCGTCTCTGCTCTCCTCCTTTCCCTTTTCTCCTCTTTCCCCCCATTTGTCCACCTTCAGAGGCTTCATTGTGCTGATCTCTGNAACTTTACCATCTCCAACCTCCAGTATTCAACAGACATGAGCAATGGCTCATCCACGTTCAACTCCACTGAGAGATTCCTGCAGCATCTGGTGAGACCCTGGTCCCAGCTGCTCCTGGTGGGTGAAATCCCCCCCAGCCCCTCACCCAACCCTCCTGCTCACCCTCCTCCTCCTTCCTCTCCAGCTCAGATCCTTGTTCAAGAAGAGCAGTCTGGGCCCCTACTACTCGAGTTGCAGCCTGATCTCCCTCAGGTAAGACTCTTTCCTGAGCACCTGCCAGTAATGGCCACTTTTGGTGACCATCCATTTTTCAGTCTTCCCACTGACCTCACATTTGCTCCTCCTTCTTTCTGGCCCCTACACCCAGAGAGTCAGGATCTCTCTCTGAGTCCCCACATGCCTCTCTCCCCAGGCCTGAGAAGGATGGGGCAGCCACTGGCGTGGATGCTGTCTGCACCTACCACTCTGACGCCCTGGACCAGGGGCTAGACAGAGAGCAGCTGTACTGGGAGCTGAGCCAGTTGACACACAGTGTCACCCAGATAGGCCCCTATAACCTGGTCAAGGACAGCCTCTTTGTCAATGGTGAGTGTATGCTGAATTTGGATTTACAGAGATGATTACATGTCTTTGTTCAATTTTATTTCCTCTTTAAGAAACCAGTCCCAGTTCTGGCTGGGGGACCCTCCCCAACCTCCATGGGGAGGGTCTTTTCTGTTATTTCAGGTAAATATCATGAAATTCTTTGGCCAAGTTAATATAATGAATTTTAGTTCAAAACCAAAATGACAGACACATGGGATCTTTTGGGACAGGATTTTTTTCTATGTGAAGTTTCTCTATGCCAGTGGCTCTCACCCAAGGGGGAAATCTGCCACCCCCTGGAGACTCTTGGCAATGTCACTGATTGTCACAGGAGACATTTTTTATTGTCACACTGGGAGAGAGTGCTGCTCTCATCTAGTGGGCAGAGGCCAGTGATGTTGCTAATATCCTTCAATGCACAGGAGAGCCCCACAACCAAGAATTAGATGGCCCTAAATGTCAGCAATTCTGAGGATGAGAAGCCCTGCTTCTCTAGATGGGCACCACACCAACACTTACCACACTTTGCTGCAATTACTTGTTTAATTATCCAACTCT